ACCGGGTATTTTGCCAAATAAAAAAAAACAACATCAACAAAAACATTAGCAACCAAACGATTACGAAAAGGGAAAAGAAATGGGCGTGGAAAAAGAATATATGAAAATTAAATTCAAAAACAAAATCTGATCTTTTTATAACACAGTCACCAAAAGCTATTATTTTGAAAACAAATATTGTTTTGGTAACTTAAAACCTATTGTCTCCCCGACATAAAACCTATTTTGATAGGAGTTTTTTATTATGTAATGCTTTTTAACGGAAAGATCCGTGTTTTAAAACTATAAGTTAAAATTGTAATCTAAAACTTTTAAATAAAACGTTTTTTAACTTTATAAATATAGTGCATTTCTATTATCGTCAGATTGGCGCCAACAACTTACTAAAACCATATTTGTTTTAAAATTTGTTTTAAAAATATCAAAACCTTTTATTCAAAAGTTTAAAATACGGAGCTATATATAGTCGTAAAGAAAGTCAGTTAACTATAATTATTAAAAACCTGAAGTACTTTGGATTTTTGTGCAAACTTTAAATTTTTTATTTTATTTTTCATTACAATTATATATTATATTAAGGAGCAGCGTTATATTTATAAAACTAAAATGCAAATAAGGCTGATATTTGCTGAAAGTTTCGGCAAAGTCATTTGCATTCATCCGGCCTTTTGAGTTTCCAATTATAAGAATTATTTGAAGTTGTTGTTTTTCTTTGCCAAAATAAAATATTTGCATAATATTTAACAATATTAAGTATTGCTAAGACAAAGTATTCTAAAAATAAAATATTGCTAACATTTGATATTGCCAATAAAAGCTTTTTTTTTGTTAAAGATATTTCATCTGTAAAACATACCAAAATAGTAAATAAACAGATTAAAGGTTAGTGATTATTTGTTTAAACTTTTTTTTATTTATTTTCATTTTTATTTTATTGTTGCCGTGTATCAGATTTTGAAATCACTTATTTCAACTTTTTTTGTTCTTACTTACTGAGTTAAAAAAAAAATATTTTAAAACGACAAATATTTTATTTTTTATTTGAATTTTTAAAACTTAAAATTTATTACGTAATCGCAATTGTCGCTATATAACTTTTAATGTCTGACTTTAAATCTTTATTTAAAACTTGGGACGTTTCAGGGGTGTCAAATTAACATGACACAGCACTGGACAGAAAAATTTACGTACTCGCAGAAGGATAGTGTGCATCAATATATATATATATATATATATATATATATATATATATATATATATATATATATATATATATATATTATATATATATATATATATATATATATATATATATATATATATATATATATATATATATATATATATATATATATATGTATATATATATATATATATATATATATATATATATATATATATATATATATATATATATATATATATATATATATATATATATATGTATATATATATATATATATATATATATATATATATATATATATATATATATATATATATATATATATATATATATATATATATATATGTATGTATACTCTTGCTTGGTCTTCTTTAAGTTTTTACCATAAAATGTCTGCTTTAAGTTTTTTTTTTATTTTAAAGACCGGAAAAATGTTTTGTTTTTTTTAATTACTTGATAGACTGCCGGCCCAAACCAAACCCTCAGTCAATGTAGCAGCACTCTGTTGCGAGTCAGGCTATTTGTCAGTCGATATATATATATATATATATATATATATATATATATATATATCATGTTTTCTTTTGTTTGACTAACAAATAAGATTTATGATTGTTTTCACTATATATTAAATAGTTTTTGTATTTAACAACTTTATACTTGAAAATGATTATTGTATAATTGAATGTTTATTAAACTGAAAAAAAAGTTATACTTATTAGACTTATACAAAATTTGTGCTATTACGATTCATATATATATATATATATATATATATATATATATATATATATATATATATATATATATATATATATATATATATATATATTATTATTATTATTATTATTATTGTTATTATTATATATATTTATATTATTATTATATATATATATATATTATTATTATTATTATTATTATTATTATTATTATTATTATTATTGTTATTATTATATATATTTATATTTATATTATTATTATTATATATATATATATATATATATATATATATATATATATATATATATATATATATACATATATATATATATATATATATATATATATATATATATATATATATATATATATATATATATATATATATATATCATATATACTTTAAAGTTTCTGAAAAAAGGTCCTGCTTATTTTTTGTCAGAGCTTTTTAAAGATCTTAAAGAAAAAATTTTAAAGAAAAAAATCTTTGAATAAAATTTGTATAATACGCAATATGCAATTTACAAAAGTAATACATAGTTGTTGTTAAAATTACCTGAATACCCAACCCACTCTTACATTTGCAAATATATATGTGTATTATAGTATGAACATTTTTACCCATCTGTAAAAAGTAGTACTATTTTCCGAGAAAAAATATAAGAACAATACATATTTTTTTTATCAAAGAATATATATATTGTTAAATAAAAAATATTTCTTGCGGCAATAACAAAAACAAGAGTATATCTAGAAGTTTTTGGTACTCAAACTACTAATGTTTTTAGTACTATATGAAATTATTTTTACAAAAGTTTGTGAACCATTTCAGCATCTAGAAAAATTGCTCTAAAACATTTGTTTGTCCTGATATAAATGTGGGTTTTACTTTTTTTATAAAATATACATTTGCAAGGCTGTAGAGGAGGCTGCACCTCCACTACAGTTGAGGTGACTAAGGACACCTCCACTTTCGTTGAGAAGGCTTTTTTTTTATTGTTTATTTGGATTTAATTGGCTTTTATATAAAATGCAGGTAGCCTTAACTAAAGTTCTATTTAATATACTCTTTGAAAAAATGCAGGTAGCCTTAACTAAAATTATATTTTGAACATACTTTTCGCATAAATGCAGGTAGCCTTAACTAAAATTATATACTGAACATACTTTTCGCATAAATTCAGACAGCCTTAGTTAAATTTCTATTTATTATACTTTTAAAACTACTATTAGTAATCATTTGGAAGTTGTGAATGTTTTTGAATGTTTTTCATAAAAATACACAATTACTCTGAATTATTTTCTTTAAATCTACTTTTTAAGAGCCCTTTTCAGTCATTTCAATAAAGGACTACAACCGACAACTAAAGATTTTGTTCATGTGTAGCAAAACACAGTGCTCTCGAATTCTGGTGTGAAAAAACTGGTATCACCTCATAATAGTGTTTCTAAATCGGTGTGAAAAAACTAGCATCACCTCATAATAGTGTTTCCAAATCGGATTGTTTAGAAAAAGTTCCGCTCCAAGTTTGATCAGTTAACGAAAATACTTAAAAATAAAAAGTGCAAATTTTAATTCAAACAAGTAATTGAAACCTGAAACCTTGTGATGTAAAACTGTGGAGTTAATAGTAATTTTACTTTCCTTTAATGTAAGTTTTTGAATCACCAAAAATAATTTAACTTCACGATCTCTATAGCAACGTCAAACAAGTTTCGGATCTGTAAATGCTCACTTTGTTCCTTCCTGTGATATGAAGCTAATATATTTTTTAGCCTATAAGCACAATTTAGTGCTCACTAATGCTCAAGATGTAACATTTCACTAAAAGATTTTGTTAGTTAGGAATTTTTAAGAACTTTGGATCAATCAGGAGAGAATTTTATATATTCAGTGTAGTGGATGTCAACAAGTGAGTTCAATCCATGCACCTATCATCAATCTCTCTAATGATTCTTTTGTACTTTATAACACACATTAAATCTCTATCCGTTCCTTAAAGTTGTAAATTATCATCTTCAATCTCTCTCAAAGAAGACATTTTTTCTTGAATGTAAAGGAAAGTTAGCCAGTTTTATTTCACATTTTTTAACAGCTCTTTCATAGTAGAAAACTGGATTGAAATAAGTGCATAAACCTTTTGAAGAATGTGGATATCTTGAAGAGATTGTGAAATTATCTTGAGAAATGTGGAAATTATGGAGCCTAAACCAGCAGCACCCATTGTCTCCTTTTCCCTTGATTGATGCATTCAGAAAGGTCAATAGTATTTTTTCCAATTTTAATTTAGCAATGCTCTTAATGATAGCTATGCTGATAAAATTGAGCAGTTAAGGGTGTTCTATTTACGATTACAGAATGCCAATATCACTCTAAAAGTTTAAGCTGTCTCTCAAGACTCTCCACAGTTAATCAAACGCCATAAAAGCTCTTTTGTAATTTATTCGGAGCTAGCAACTGAAGCGCTTGATTATCTTTTCAGGTCATACTATCAATGGCTAAAGACACCAAGTAACCACCCAGAGTATGAAGACAAGCTGTATAAGTACGTCACAGAATTCAACAGAAAAAATCTTAATTAAAAACGTTTTTATCATTTTACTAGAATTATAGTTTGTAAAAAGAGTTAAGAAGAATAGCTTTAGATTTCAGGCTTTTTAATGGAATTCAATGCAATACTTCAAATTAGATTTTCTGACAAGGTTGGTGTAACCAGATATTTCATTTTATATTCCTAATAGTAAAGTAATCATCCCGTCAAAGGATTTGCTGTAGTCATGACATTAGGCGTTTTTTCATTTATTTTTACTACAGTGTATTCAAAATAACTTTAAAAAAAAATAATGATAATATTGAAATTACAGTAACATATTGAAATATATAACCAAGAAAAATTAAACAAAGTATAATGAAAAAAAATACAAAGTATAATGAAACAGAATATAACGACAATATTTTAGAATTTCTAAGAATTTAAGTATTCAAAGTTTAATGTTTTCAAAAATTCTTTTGAAATCTTTATTACAAATCAACATCACAGTTTAAGTTTTAATAGATTAAACTATAAAGCAATAAATATTGAAAAAAACATACTAAATATAAATATGGCTTTAAGCATCGAGATTTGCAGCAATGTAGTTGCAACTGCCTATCTGGTATTAAACAAACTGCTTTGAAATATTTAAATCTTCAATTATCACAGAACCTGTACCAGATAAATTAAAAGAGCATAAACTACATCTTTATTTAAAAGAGAGGATTAGTTTAATCCCTTGTTTTTAATTTACCGATTTCCACTTAAAGTTTTCCGGGAAACGGAAAAATCAAGAAAATACTTTAAGTGAATTTTTATGTTATATAGAAGTATAGTTTTATTTCCTTTCCATTTCTTAGAAAAATTCTTGTAGGTGGAAATGCACCTTTACACTAAATAATTACAGACCAATCTTATTTATATGAATAATCTTAGTTCACATACTTAAAGCATTTAACATCGTAGATCATATAATCCTACTTAAAAAAGATAAAAAGATATGAAATAAAAAGTGTCGCCTTAAATTAGTTCTAAATTTATTTGCTGAACACACAATGTAATTTCTAATGAAAAAAACTGTTCGAACCTTCTTAAAATGTAGTGTGATGTTTCGAAGATTTAGTATTTTTCACCCCTGCTGTTTTTATTATACAGAACCTCCCAAAAGCCTCGTTTAAACTGGATGTCATCATACTTTCAGATGATACTAATTTATTTTATACATAAAAATATTTTGCAGAACGTTTTGAAACTACAAATATTGAACTTGAAAAACTTAACTAAAATCTAATAAGTTATTGTTTAACACATTTATTAGATTTAAATTGTTAGTTATTTTATTTAAAGAAATAAATAGATCCATCGTTTTTATTCCAACCAAAAAAAAAATAAAAAACAACAACAACAATAACAAACACTCAAACTACTCTCGCTAAAAATGAAAAAAAAAAAAAAAAAAAAAATTAAGAAATTGAAAGAATTCAAGCAACAAGATTTTTTTGGGATCCTTATTTGTGAGAACATCTCACGGAAAATCCCCATCACTATGCTAAATATCGAGAAGCATTAGGATATTCTATGAAGCTAGTTCCAAACTGCGCTGATAGATAAGATCAATAGATAAGACAAAAGAAGAATAGAAAAGTGTGATTAAATTTATTTTTTTAAATGTATTTCTTAAATAAAAAAAATCTTTTGTTTCTACATTTCGTATCGTTCCTTTTATCTAAACAACAAAGTAATTTTTAATCTTTTTTTGTAATCCAATTTTTTGAGTGATGGAATCAAACGAGTTGCCCGGTGTTGTACTTGTTCGATTAAAATTATGTCATTTTTTTGGTGAGGGTTCCAGGCCGATATTGCGAATTCCAAATGAGGTCTCACAAACGCTAAAAATAATGTTTTGAGAAGTTTGCTATCCATATAGGTGAAAGTCCTGCTTAACATTCCAAGTATTTTATTGGCTTTATTTGATGCATACATAACTTGAATGATATTTCGTCTAACTAGATAAAAAATCCTTTTCATCGTTTGTACTGCATATATAATTTTTATTTTATTTGCTATTGATGGAATTGTGTAATTATGATGTTTGTTTGATTTGCCGAATGGCATTACTTTGCATTTTGACTCATTAAAGTAAAGAAGCCATGTTTGGGACCATTTTGCGATTTTATTTATGTCATTTTGTAATACATTTATATCGTTAATATTATTTATTTTTGCTAATAGTTTAGTACCGTCAGAATTTATTTATACTTTTTAATAGTTTTGGCATATCATTAATATATATTATAAATAATATATATTAATTAGTACCTCCGCGGTACTCTATGAAAAGACCGATAGGTTTATTGGAGCATCTTAGAAACCTAAAAAAAAAAATTGGGTCTGCAAATCAAAGTATTTTTGTAAATATTTTGTAATATAACAGTGTACATAACGCTATATTTTATTTGTCCTTGACTATAAGATAGCAATTCAATATAAAATATGTTTGGTTACTTTTAGTAAAATAAGTAACGAAAAGAAATAGAATAGTTTTATTTACTGACAAAACTTTTAACTTTAAAAATTACTGAATATTTTACAATAACAAAAAAAAAAAAAATAGGCATGGTAAAGTTTTGTTGCCCAAAACATATTTAAACTACCATAAAATAAAAACTAAAGATATTGAACAAATTTTTATTTATTTGCGAGAAAAATCTTTTTTAAACAAATCTTGCATATTTAATGGCATACTAAAACATAAAACTGTATATAAAAACCTTATTAAAAGTAATAACAAAAATATCAATAAAAAACTGAAGTATATAAAAGTTAAAGCAACAAAAATAACATCTAAACTATTATTTAAAATATCTCCCATGAGCTTTTTCGAAATAGAACACCTTTTTTTGCACCGATTTTACAAGATTGTTGCAGATTTCGCTTGGAATTCTTCTGCAAATGGTATCTAATTCTTGCTTTAAACTGTTAATAGATCGTATTTCCACCTTGACTAACTCTTTGTCCATACAAGCCCAAATAGATTCGATTGGATTCAAATCTGGTGATTGACCAGGGCATAACATATTTACTTTATTTTCTTTCATTCATGATTTTACTGTACGAGCTGTGTGGGCAGGCGCCAAATCTTATTGAAATTGCCACCATTTATTTCGATCAATGTTTTTGATCATGTTCCCTGATGGAACCATGCAGTGCGTCTAGCATCTATATATATGTATATTGGTTGATTCAACCTGTATAAATGTTACACACTCCTACTCTGTTAAAGTTAAAGCCGCCCTAAGAACCAACACTGCCGCAGCCACTATGCAACCTTATTACAACAAAGCAATTAGTATACTTTTTTGATTTAAATCTTTTAATAAGGACTTTTTGCTTTTACTTTACATTTTTTAAGTTACTTTCAACACTAAAAATTACTTGTTTCCACTTCTCCAAAGTCTAAAGATTCTCTCCCTACACCACCTAAATCTTGTGAGCCGATCTCTATATACCACCTGTTGTTTTAAATGTTTTTAGAGTATATCTGACGCAATAGGGTATATTAGTATATTTAGAGTATATCTGACGCTCTAAAATTTTTTATTTTATTGCAATTTCTCTATTATTGATCATTGACCCATCCATTATACCTATTATTTGCCACTTTGTTGCTTCGCTTACTGCTTTTTGACCCATTTCTATGTATACTTTTAGGTTTTATCAAACTATTTAAAAAGGGTTTAAATGTAACTAAACTGGTCATCACAAGTAATTTTATCCAATATTATTATAGTATTTTTTCTACAATAGAAGTTTGACACCTATGAGTCGAGTGTCTAACGAAACCCGACTATAGTAGACCGACATTAGATAGAACGATTCCATTTGTCGTAATTATTTTTAAAACAATCAACTTAATTCACAGCAACTACCGAAGCAGGAAAAGCGTTCAATGATGACGCCACTCGGTTTTTAAAGAAGTTATGTCTTTGAGAGTTTTTTGATAATACTCGCTCAATTTTATGCTTGGCACCACGAAGATGACCTCCAGGTCCATCACATATGAAAGCACTTCCTCGGTTAAACTGCTGTTGCCAATTAACAATGTTTAATTTTTTATAAATTTTAAAAAATCGGATTACATCTCCTCTTGTTCTACGTTCAGCTAATTAGCTGAGACCCAGATTTGCTGTTCGTTTCTCGTATTTCAAGTTCCGCAATTGTGGAACAATTTTGGTAGCTCTACGTTAGACTAATTATAACTTTTTAATGTCTTTTAGAAGAAAAGAGCACCAAATTGGTGCGCAGTACTCCAATATCGGTCTTACATACGCTATATAGATCTTCACGAACATACTTGGATTCCATTTTTAAACAGTTCTTTCGAGTATCTCAAGTACAGAGTTAGCTTTAAGAGTGGCATCACTAATCTGTTTTGACCAATTCAGTTTACTATTTATCAGAACAGCCGATGTTCTTTAAACAGATACATTTTCAATAGGAATGTAACTGCCATTTTTATCTAATATCGTCAAGGAGATATTGATGTCTGTGGAACCATAACGGAACTTTAGAACCTTGCATTTATTTATCCTAAGTTCCATGCACCAAAGTCTTGACCAATTACATAACATACCAATATCATTCTGGACAAACGCCATGTCCATAACTGTTTTTATTTTGACAACCAACTGGCTATCATCAGCAAATAGCTTGCAACTACTTTTAACTAATTCTGACATGTCGTTGATAAAGATCAAAAAAAGAAGATATCCTAAAACCGATCCTTGAGGTACACCCCTCAGGGTATCCTTCCATTCGAAACAGAAATTTCGCAGAACAATCCGCTGTTTCTTATTTTCATAAAGGTCCGTGAGCCAGGCAAGAATATTTTTGCCAAAACCATAGCCAGCCAGTTTGTGATAAAGCAGAAAATGTGATACACGATCAAAAGCTTTGGCAAAATCTTATAAAATGAGCAATGTAGCACAGTTGTCATATTTTATGAAAAATTTTCAAACTAACATTTAAATTATTAAAATAATTATGAATAACAGTTGGGTTGACAAGAAAGTAGAACGGAAGTCAATTAAAAAGTTTGTGCGCCTATTTTTTTTTTAAACTTTCTCCGGTATTATGTTTTTTGTATTCTTTTAAAAAAAGTTGTTCTTTTCATTTATTCAAAATAAATTTTACTACATAAGAATTAATAAAATACACAAAATGCATATAATAAGAATTACAAAAGTTTTGTTAACTTTACAATATGAACGCAGATAATCGCAGAAAATTATAAGATCTTGTCATCGAGAACCGCCTAAATAGATTTTAAATAAAAAATTATCGTTTAACAATAGATATATAAATATTCAACCATAATACATATATAATTATTTTCACACATATACAAACTTATAAATATATATATTTACACATACTATATATACATATCCACGCATACATTATAAGTATAAACAAACGTCATTAACAATGTTGATTACGTTTATACTAAGACATTAATTAGGCAATCTAATTAATAGTATGATTGCACATTCTAACATCCAGTGCAATATCTGCCCGCTTTCTCTATGCTATATTTTTAA